TTCTCCAATGAGAACTATCAGCCCTGCTTGTGAAGCTGAAAGTTCCAACACTTTCATGAAGAATATTATTTGGAATGAAAATAGAAGTTGTGTATATAGGTCAATGAACACATGTCCAACAGCACACGATAACCGTTCCCTTGCCCTCATTATTCCAAAATGCTTGTTGCTTGTTCTTCTCTGAAAACATGAAGGGTGCAATTAGCCTGGACTACACGTAGAAACATTTTGTGTTCATTCAAACACCGACCACCTTACAAGAGTAAGTAGTGCACGTGGGAAGAAAAGATTTCTACATGTACTTACAGGATTACGAGAACTAAACCAGAGACGGTCGCACCATAAATTCAAGCGAAGCTAATCTTTGATCTGGCTTTAAATCTGACAACAAATGTGAAGTATACGTGTTAAGACTAATACTTTGACGATATTTACGACTCTTGGAGTCTGCCTTTGAGCGGCTCCTCCACACGTCACTGGACAAGACTAGGTGACACTGACCGTGACGACGTCAGTAATGAGTCTGTATGAATGATAATTGTTGTTTGTCAATTTTACAATACTCGCCTGAATGAATATTCAAGAAACTACCACAGACCATTTATGTTACGTCGTAATACCGAGCTTTAAGTTAGTCTAAAGAAATGCTAGCCACAGGAATCAGAAATTTGCGAAAGATACTTTCAAACTGACTAGAAGCCTTGTATGTGAAGTCAGAAATAGTACGATAAACCCACTTGCGCAAGATCAATACGCGTAAATAATTTAGTGTCTGCCTCAATCGGCTGAGAGGAACGAGCACTCAAACGGACTCTGAAAAATAGACAATAGGTACTCAAAAATAGATTTCCTTCCTAAGTACACCATATCTAACACAAAAGAGAGGAAGTAGCAAACAAAAACACAATATTTAATTATGAGCTAGGTCTGATACCGCCCATAAACGTGATGATCTCTGGATAAAATGAAGCGATGTCTGGTACCGCCCAAAAACGTGATAATTGAATGATACTGAATTAAGGGAGGAAGAAGCAGCCACTGAAGTGAATCGACCTGTTTTGTTCGCCACATGCTTCTCAAACTTCAAAGCAAAGATTACTATTCTTCTAAGATTCGCGTTTATCACATTTG